AAGTGTTTGTTTTAATATTGCAAAAGGAGTGGATGACCAATATCCATAAATGTCAATATATGTTCTGGATCAACGCTGATATAAATCTAAAAAAACAGAAACAAAGGGCTGACTGAATTTTCTTTTTTTTTTCTATCTTTTTAAAATTTGCATTAGTTCAATTACAACTAGGCCTGTCACGGTATATTGATTTATCTTTCAATTTTTTGCATATATCATTATTATTGCAAACGTTTATCACAGAACTTTAGAAGCTTCATTTATTGTCAGTTTTTTCCCTTTTTTTTTGCCTTTTTCTGCATAAAAAGATCCAATTCAACTTTTATGGCATACTGTATATGGCTAAATATGATTTTTTTTTTCTGCTGCTTGTATCATTATGCCACTATTTGAAAGGCGCTCTAAAAATGGATTGATTGATATATTGTAAATGTTTGAGGGTCATAAAAGTAGTTTATGACCCCATTTTGTTTCTCAATATTTTTCTGTAGCAATAATATTATCCATGATGTCATTTTGAGCAGCCAAATTACAATACGAGACTTAAAACGGCTGCATTCCAACGACTAAAGTGACCTATATTGAGCGTACAACTTGTTTTGCAAAAGACATTTGTGTGGATTTACCAACAATGCAGAACATAAAACTGATGAGGCCAGTTGCTGCAGTGTATTTTCGGTCTATCTGTTCGCCAAGGGGAAGTGTGCCTCAAAATAGATTCAAATACACATCTCTGCAGTGGTGTCCCTGCTCTTTCTCTGTTTGTGCTCTAGCATTATCAAAACTGTGTTCCCAGCCCTTTCCATTGTGCTGCTCTGAGCTGTAAGGTTGTCATTTTGGACCTCTTATCTCCAGACATAAAATTGTTGTTGTCAAATCTTCTGAGGAAAGAGTCTGAGACATAGCATAGCATTTTGGTCGCTCCATAACAGTAAACAAAATAGGTCAAAAATAGAAGTGCAAAACATGTAAGAATCACAATGACAGGACTCACCAGTTAAATTCAAATGAAACTGTTATAAAGTAGTCTCATAACAAAAATTAAAAATGGTTACTAGTTACAAAAAGAAAAGTTAGTCATGCAGTTATATACACACATACAAATATTGTTTTATCCCAGTAACTGTTGTGAGAGTTCATGACACTTTTAAGCAACTTTTGTTAAAGTTAAAGGAATAGTTCACCGTTTTTACATACTGACATATGTTCTTACCTTACCTTAGACTAGTTAATACGTACCTGTCTGGTCTTAGTCCGTGCGCTCTGTCATGCAAACGGAGCAAAAACGGGAGCACAAACGCAGCCTCCTCTGTATACTGTGTAGGACCAAAAGGTAGCTCCCGCTAGAAGCTACCAAACTCTTCCAAGTGTTCCCTATTAAATGTATATAGTTACGTGACGTGTTACACTGCAAAGTATAGTAACACAGAAATGTAACAGTCGATTTTCTCAGCGGATAAAACGGGTACTATATTGTGAGGCGTAGTAATCTGAGGAGTGCTACGTCCGCGCACTAACTTCTCTCCGTACTACAAGTCACGCTGCTTCTATTGACGGAAGTGAGCGAGAGAGAAGTCTCCGGAGAGAAGTTAGTGCGCGGACGTAGCGCCCCTCAGATTACTACGCCTCACAATATAGTACCCGTTTTATCCGCTGAGAAAATCGACTGTTACATTTCTGTGTTACTATACTTTGCAGTGTAACACGTCACGTAACTATATACATTTAATAGGGAACACTTGGAAGAGTTTGGTAGCTTCTAGCGGGAGCTACCTTTTGGTCCTACACAGTATACAGAGGAGGCTGCGTTTGTGCTCCCGTTTTTGCTCCGTTTGCATGACAGAGCGCACGGACTAAGACCAGACAGGTACATATTAACTAGTCTAAGGTAAGGTAAGAACATATCTCAGTATGTAAAAACGGTGAACTATTCCTTTAAACTCATCATTCTATCAATGTGCAGAAGCCAGTACTTTTCCCTTTGTTTGTCTATCTGAAGGCCAAGCTACAAGGCACTGTGGCAGCTGCTGATTGGAGGTCTCCATGCCTCCGCTCTGTATAATACACTTGCATTCTGTTGTTCGTGCTGTCTCTACCATCGACAATAAAACATGTCTTCTGTCTGAATTTAAGACACGATCCCAGACTTTGTCATCTTCTTCACTGTGATTTGAGAGTGACTTACCAATCACTGTATGCATTTTGACTTTGCATCACATGGCTGTTTAAAAGACAGTTAAAAAAAATGCGGTAATGCAATTTCTAATGTGGTGGATATTGGCAAATCCAGTTCTCGATGTTAGACGATGTTATTCTTTGTTACAACTCTGATTTGTTTGTAAACTTGAAGAAGATGACAAAGTCTGGGATCGTGTCTTTAATTCAGACAGAAGTCAATGGTAGAGACCGCACAAACCAAAATGTTACAGACTTCAAGTGATATTATACAGCGGAGGAATGCACACCGTCCAATCAGCTTTCGCCGCAATGCTAGGAGCTTGGCCTTCAGAAATCAAAACATGCTGTGTAAAAGGACTGGGTTGAGCATATTGTTGAATGATGAGTCAGAACTTTAACCACAGTTGCTTCAAAGTGTCATGAAATCTCTAAAAACTCGTGCAAGTATTTCCAAAAGATTAAACAAGATTTAAACGAGATGAGTTGGTTGTAAGCTCAGAAATATACAATGATCAAGGAAAATTTGTGTAAAAGTGGACTGGTGTGCCAGTGTAACAGCCATAGAGTATCGCATTGCCTGGGGATTTTTCTCCTAGCAACATGGAAACCCTATTGGTTTATTCATGCTTTCTAAATTGAAGTGAGCATCCCTGTATTCTCCAGGCTGCTCTCTCTGGTGCATAACTGCAGCTAAAGAATCCAGTCGGAGAATAGAGGGCCCTATTGAATCAGTCTCAGTCCTCCAGGCCCACTGCTCTAACCGGTATCCAATAATGAGGAGTCATTTGTCCATATAAAAGGTCTGAGAAGTTCTTTTCAACTTCAGATAACAATCTAGTTGAGGCTCAAATCCGAGCCACTGACTCTTAAAATGTGTGAGTGATTTGTATTGAAATGATACCTTTCTTCACTGCTCTCTCGACCCTCTCGATGTTACATTGAGTGTTTCTATTTACAGCCAAGTTAAAGCTCCACCCACCATTGTTTCTATGTCGTTGTTACGCATTCAATTGTCTCTTTGTGGAAAGCTCTCGAGTGTCACTACACTATATACTCTGAATGTGTAAGAGGAAGAAAGCTATACTCCTCTTACACATTCAATCATTGACATTCAACTGTTTCAACAAATATAACATCTATTTCTTTAGATGATTCACATTACATTAAGGTTATACATTTTTTTTTTGGGTGTGACAGGAAAGCTAGCCTGCTGCTTTCCAGCACAGAATGCAAATCCGGTGCTTATGATAAATGTCACGCTGGCATGTGGATTGATTTAATAACATTCTGTGTAATTCAAAGCACTGCTCTTCATGTGATGGTGCCATGAGCTCTGATATATTATTTCCACAGCCTATGGAGGCACAGTCAGAACAAATGGCTTTCTTTGGCAGGACACTCCTAAATCTCCTCATATTCTCCACTTCCTATTCATTAAATCAGAAGTAGGTCACCTACAAAATGGCCACCACTTGGCCACCCTTTCTGTCCCCCTTCCTGTTAGCATATGCTTCACTCAGGCCTGGGCCAACTCACCCTCCTGAATAAAACAGTCAAATAAAAAGCCAATAAGGGGAGGAACATATTTGATTTAATTTTTGATAATGCTTTTAGGCAATATATTTTTGTGCTGTACCTGTTTAAAGGGATTTGTGTGGGGGCGGCAGCGGCAATAGAGGCATGATTACACAGCACATGATGCAGGTATATATGGCATTCACATTGTGATCATGTCTCCTCTGGCCTATTCTGAATGGAGCAGTATCTGTTTGTTAGTTTACTTAAAGGTACACATTTGATACATTATTTACGGGATTCTGCATTACCTTTCCATGTGTCTAGGTTGGGTGAAAACTTTGTGTTATGGATGCACGATTAGACCTTTTGAGATAAGATAAGACATGATAAGATACTCCTTTATTGTCAACCATAAGATAAAGTTCCCACGGAAGTTGATTAACAGCACCACATACCACCAGAGATCTCTTTGACCCAAGGAAGTTGATAGCAGGACATCAAAGACTACAGAAGTCACCCACAATCATTAATATTTGCACCTCAGTGAAAACCTATAGAGCAGTTTTTTATACATTGATGGTTTTCCAATCATTTACTCTAACAAATACAAAACAAATATTGTGAAATGCAATGTTCATTGATTATGACGTTACATTTGCAAGAGGATATAAACCACATGTTACAGCTCTTAAAAAGAAATTTCTACATGATTATGTCAGAGGATAAAGGATGTACCCCCATTGAAAGTTCACCTTTACTTATTCTCTATCATCATTCCACAGACTAAAAATGTCCCAGTAAAACGACTACGAGAATTGTGGGATTGGTCAGTGTTATAATGAATAGACAGCAATGAAGGAGCCATCAGTTGGCTTGGCCCGTGTTTTCAGACAGCTCCAATGGGATGTGCAGCACAGTGTCATGGCTTGGGCACCACAGATCAGACAGCAAAAGCTTGTGCAGTAACCCAAGCAATTTAAGGGTTACAGAAGACTTTGACACGCCCCAAAGCCACTCGCCTTTGCTCCTGTTGAATCTGCAATGGCACATTCTGTTTTGGTTCTGCCAGAAGAGAATGATGGAGCCTCTTTTTTTTTTTTTGATTTTTTTTTATTTACAAACAGTCATATAATAGTTTTGTTTCAAAACTTCAATGTGTTTATTTGGTTTACTTAATTTAATGAGTTGGTTTCTCAACCCTTCAGGCAAAGCATGTTCCTGATTGAGTTGATGTGTAAATGACCTGCCTACTTTGATCTCATACCCATTATCAGACTGCTCAAGAGAATGGTCCCACTAAATCTATGACTCCTAATGGATGGGTGAACACAGAGGTTGACTCTTTTTTTTAGTTTAAGTTTTTAGTAATTAGCTACACATAACTAATCGCCTCAAATCCATAGTACTGTAAACGCTGACAAAACTCCGTTTCTGAATTTATAACCCTTGAGAAAAACACATCAATCTGCCCTTTCATAATCACCGTGCCTCTCTGCATATGGCCTACATTAAAGGAGAGATTGTACGAGACAGTGCCATACAGTACAATCATGAATATGTATGATACTTTGGCTGCACTCAAACAATTTGCATAAAAGATGATGGGTTGTATTGCATGGACATCATTAGCAATGAAGGAGCGCACCAAGGTTGTGGTGTCTCACTCTGCACACCAACCTACCATTCAGCTCTTTACTCACGAGTTAATTTACATTTTTAGTTAATATAGTCTGCCGCATTTCTGTCTTTCTATGACTTTTATAAGAAATGGTCATTGTTTTCCAAGTAGCCTAAAATAGATGCTATGCCTTAAACCAAGCAGTCAAAAAGAACAACCATACTGTCAGTAATCGGAAGGTAAATACTTATTTTAAAGGAATAGAATACGGTTCTGAACATTTCATTTTTTATTCGTTCTTATATAACATACAGTCACATAAAAAACAGGAGTAGATGAAGACCAGTCCTTAATTAAACCCCCTGCCCACTCTATGACAGTAAGACAACAAACATAGATAGGCTTCATCTAAAAATAACAACTAATACTAATAACAATAACTATTCTCTCTTCATTTAACATAGGATTTGATCATTTTTTTGTTACATTTAAAACTTGAATTTTAATATGTTTGAACCGTTTTCAATTCATTGTCCAGAGATCCACAGTTTACACCACATATGAGATGGAACATTTTTTTCATAACATTACACAATATTGAACGGATACATTAAAGTTTAGGATAGGTTTGAGACAGAAGCATTTATGAAGAGGATGAAGCAGCATTATTATGTTCCCAGGTGAATTCGTCTGCACATACTGGGCAACCTGAGTAGGGAGAGTGTAGTGCCAACTTTGGCACAGAATTTACATACGTTTCGTTAAAAGTCTGAGCCAACATTACAAAACATGAAACAAATGCCATTTGAGGGACAAGCAGCTGATTTCACCCCAACAATCAAAAAATGATCAGATTATTTACTCGACTGCCTCCTTGGTCTTATCATGTGGGTACAAATCATTCAAAAAAAACAAAAATTCTAACTTCAACTACTCTCTCCCTGAACAAAAAACAATAAAATGCAAAATCCATCCGCCCAGAATAGTTGTGGTAAACAGAAAGCGTATCTGACAACATGCACCTCCCGTGTAATCAGCTTATCGTGATGACTTGAACCATGTTCAAAGCTTATCCTCATGATCTGCTATGATGGGGTTGTTTTGTCCTCTGTAGAAAATTGTCCAAAAGCGTTTCATTAAATCACTCTCAGCCGCTGAGGGACAACCGTCATTCAAAAATAAAGTAGCAGAGTCGACTACAGAGAAAGACTTGAACTAGAATGAATATGAGCTTGGACAGCAGTAAATACACATGTTAGTCAGTATTATCTATCGAACTCTGGAAATCTGAAGACCTCCCCTGTGAGCGCTGAACTGTGCTCAGCCGAACAGTGACAGTGATTAGAGTGTCTCAGTTTACGGTGTCTTGATTTCTACTTTAGATGTATTGATTCTGTCACCACTCCAGAGGCCGCACCGGATAACACCTTCTCAAACAATGACCTTCCATAACACTGCTGCAAACTGTGAACATATTTGAACAGTGTGTTTTCATGATTTTATAATTTTGGTATGGAGATATCGATTCGTTTATCTGTTCCCCTCCATGCACGCTTGCTCTGTTTTTGATGCGTATTGTTAAGTAATATTTCAGAAGTGAACTGTGCTCTGGATTTGGCTTTAAAACAGTCCTGAATTTGTTGGCCAGATAGTTTTTGACCCAGGATTGGATATTCATATAAGGGGGTAAATCAGGAGGCCCAAAGGAAGTCCAACATTAACTCCACACTACTTTTTTTCTCAATCGCAGGGCCAGGATAAGGCAGGAGCTGATCCAGGAATCAGGTCAAAGTAATCGGAGGCCTTGAAGATGTAACAGCAGTGGACAATAGCAAGGCAATGCAAGGCACAGTTTATTTGTATAGCACAATCATATACAGAGGCAACTCAAGTGCTGAACAAGATAGCATTAAAATCATAAAAAATCACAGAACATTAAAACAGCGAAAAAATAAAAATATAAATCCCTCTTGTTATGCACGAGCTAAACAGAACCGTTTTAAACTTGGTTTAAAACATTGTCAGAGAGGAGGCCTGTCTCACATCTTCAGGAAGATTGTTCCAGATTTAGCAGCAAGAATCTGAAAAGCAGCCTCCGCCATGTTTAGTTTCGACTCTGGCACTAACAGAGTCCAGTCCCCTTGCTCCTCAGAGTCCGGGCTGTTCATATGGACTAACATGTCACTAATATATTTTGGTGCGAGGCCCATGGAGAGACGTGTAGCACAAGCAGAGCTGTTTTAAAGTCTAATCTCTGAGCCACAGGACAGAGACCTGAGGCTGACTAATGTTGTCATACCTTCCTGATCTAGTCAGGACTCGAGCTGCTGCATTTTGAATGTACTGCAGCTGTTTACAGCCCTGTTTGACAGACCTGTGAGCAGGCCATTGCAGTAGTCCTAACCTACTGGAGACAAATGCATGGATAAAATCTCCAAGTCTGCTTTAGACACAATGTTTTTGATCCTGGCAATGTTTTTTAGATGGTAAAAAAGCTGCTGATGTTACTGATTTGAATGTGGCTATTAAAATTTAAGTCTGAGTCCAGTATTACCCCTAGATTTCTGACCTTGTTTGAAGGTTTTAGGGAGAGAGACTGTAGAGACCGAGGAACGCTCTCTCTTTGTTTCAGGGGACCAAAAGACAATCATTTCCAGTTTTGTCTGCGTTTAGCTGAAGGAAGTTTGTTTTGCATCCACTCACTGATAGGTTGGATACAGTTGAAGGAGTGAGTCCACGGTCCATGTTCTCCTCATCAGTGAACAGTAGATCTGAGTGTCGTCTGCTAGTTTTGTGATAGGACACTTTATTTCTGCGTATTAACAGACCTAACGGCAGCAATGTAAGATTGAACAGAAGAGGTCCCTCAGGATCGACCCCTGTTACTCCACAGGTCAGGGCCATAGGAATTCTGAGACACAGTTTCCATCTCCACAAGTACTTCCTGTCTCAAGTTAGACCTAAACCACTTAGGGCGTGCCATAGACGCCAACCACAGTCCCTCGCTTATTCTCTGTAGAGGAACTCATGGTCGACAATAACAATAATAACAAATATTTGCTTCGCACAGGTCCTGGGTGGGGGGGGGGTTTTTGGGGGGGGGGGGGGGGGGGGGGGGGGGGGGGGGGGGGGGGAGGGGGGGGGGGGGGGGGGGGGGGGGGGGGGGGGGGGGGGGGGGGGGGGGGGGGGGGGGGGGGGGGTGGGGGGGGGGGGGGGGGGGGGGGGGGGGGGGGGGGGGGGGGGGGGGGGGGGTGGGGGGGGGGGGTGTGGGGGGTGTGTGTGGGGGTTGGGGGGGGGAATCACCTGGTCGGAAAGAGGTCATTTCTGATTGGAGTTTTGCATGTTCTCCCTTTGTCTGCGTAGGTTGCCTCTGGTGCTTCCGTTTCCCATCCACTAAAACATGCCAATAGGAATGAATGTAAATGAAGAGTGAATGGATGGCGTTGGACGGGTATGTTGCACTTGTTGTGGAAATCTGATAATGTGGACTATGTATGATAGAAACTGGATGTATGTGAACTTTGTGTGTTAATGTATCAGCTGAATGTATGGTTGTGACATGTGTCTGAGTATAGATGTATTGTGCAGGTGAGATGCTGGGAATGAGGTGTGGTTTTAACAACAGTATGAGGCTAAAGCTAAATGTGTGTGTCTGTACTCAGAGAGGTGTGTTGTAATGTGATGTTATTTCTATTGATTGTATATTAACTGTATCCATAGTATTTATTTATGTAACCAGGGACCCCCCCCTGCAGAATGGGGAAAAAAAAAAAAAAAAAAAAAAAACTAGCGTTTAGGCTATTAATCTGGTGCAGAACCATTATCTGTCATTCGAGCTTTAATGTCTCTGTACATTGGCCCTCATTTATGAAGCTTGCGACGGGCCAAATCAGGGTGCAAATGAGCGTACGCAAAAAATGTACAACTTTTCCGCATTTACAATCTGGACGAGTAGCGTATGATACTCAAAAAAAATAAACACCAGTCAGGAGGTGGTGTAAATGTATACACTCATCCAACCATCGGCACAAAACGCCAAAACACGCATGAAATTAAAATTTGGACAACAATAACCTTATTCCCACTCTTGCAAAATATAAGCTGTGTTATCATTGACATCATGTTTCAAATTGAATTTGCGCATCAGAAAAACTCTAAGGGAAACACGCAAACTCGAATAAATCACAGATCAAAAGAGGACCCTCTTCTGTTTTCTTTGGATTATAAATCTGACTTGTGTGTGTATTATTTTGATCTGATATGTTTTAAATGTGAAGCGCTTGTGATCTGGACAGTGAAAGGCTCTAAATACACAATTACGCTACAGGGATTGTGTGACCCAACTATTGTTTTGTAATCTGCAGGCTCTGCGCTGCGTAATTACGCATGGCTATTATGTTATCCTCATTCACACTGGTGAAAGCAATGTAATGTTTTCATTAGATTTGTGTACCCTCACACAGACACACAGCCCATAAACGCACCGATGGATGGAAATGCTCACTCCAAATGTCTCACAGGCTTCTGTCCAGAGTGCGTCAGCCGGGTGCCGTGAGAGGTCTGCACCGCATAACTCCTGTCATTCGAGAAGTTTTGGCTCCAGAGTTTCTCTGTGAAATCCTGACCGCAAACGCTCTTCTCAATGTAAAGCGCTTCAATGCGCACTCCTACCCCGAGCCAGGCTGCCGTCCAAGACGCTGCAGACGCTGCAGACGCTGCAGACGCTGCAGACGCGTCATTGATGAGAGCCCACCGCTGCATAATATAATGAATTTCATTCATTCATTCTATCTATCACTTCTACAATTCAAATTCATGTATCAAAACAGTTTTTTGCAAATTTTTGTTCAAAACGCAGCTGAAAATAGCGTATATTTATTGTACATAAACATGAACAAACAAACGTGCCTATTTGAGGCTTCAGTCTTTTTGGCCGCCCCCCCCACCCACCCCCACTGCCCCGACCACCCCACACCCCGGACCACCGCTGCCGCTTCCTGCTCGACCTGTGGGCAAAAACGGCTAGAAACACGCAATTGGCCTGCATAAATTGCTAGGCGTGACTTTCATAAATACGTCTTTCTAGCCGCAGGATTTATGACATCCGCAAGGTGCGTGCGCACAGATCCTTGGTGCATCTCACACGTTCATAAATTCCGTTGTCGGATCATGCGATTTAAAATGGAATATACACCCAAAATATACACTTTTTTCTGACAACTTTCATCTGAGCCAATGTCCCCTTCAATAAAGACTAAACTAAAATTTTTTAAAACTATAATTGTAAATGCTTGTGGAGTGGACCTGAGACTGTATAAATGTCCTATATAAATAAACATTGCTTACTTATTACTAATAGTTGTGTTCAGTGTGAACGCCAACAACAAGATATAACCGTATTTAGACAGCAATTAAAACCAAAGTGTTTAATCGGCTGTTATACATATTGTGGGAGAAGATAATATAACATAATTCACACAAGTCACTACTTTTACCATGATAAAAGCTGACATGCCGTGAAACTCTTTCTGTCAAACTTTAGGCATTTGCATATGCTACGTTGGGTTTTTAAAATGACAAAAAATACGTGACTGTCCTGCAGATGACCACTGCCACTCTTCTAGACACAAGCATGCCCAAAAGGTAGGAAGTTACAGTGATGAAGCAGACCAAAAGTGGTCAACAAACACCTGGAAGTGCTTACATTGGATAGACTACTAGAAGGAATCGATCTGTTGGGAGGCATGGATCTATTATAATATACTGGATAGGTAATACTAGCTTGTAGCTGATAACCTCATGTCTCAGGGGATTCTCGCGGTACGGCAGAAGAACCAGACAAAAATTCACGTGGGCTACCAGAAATTTTCCCCATAGACACAATGCATATTTAAAACAGCTCGACCTCAGCTAAAGAAAGAAAGAAAAATACAAAGAGAACCAACAGCTTCATAAAGTCGGATTTTGTGGGAATTGTTAGTGTCTCCTTAACATCCTGAACTTTTTTTCTTCTAAATCTCACAACTTTGTTAAATCCACACTTTAGTGCCACAAACTCTGCAAGTCTGCTCTCGCTCTAACTCCCTCTCAAGAGAACTGCTCTGATTGGTCAGAGCGCAGCGAGCCCTCTGTGCACGGTGTGAGACCCACAAACGGTGTTTGGCGCAACGCATTAATGGAGCTCATCCACTGCGCAGAACCGGGAGGACCAGACGATGCCCAAATACAGGCTAGTTTTCCCATAAGATCATTGCGAGTTTCCAGGCGACTTCCGCTAATCTTTCAGCCCCCATGGCCGTCACAAGCGCCACTGAGCACAACCATACAATTGACTAGGCGCAATCTTGGATCGCCGGGGCTTGGTTGGAGGCCCATCAAAGTAGTGAGCTCACTGGATCAAAATTACCAACATACAAAACTATCCCAGAATATTTATAGAACTGGCTTTTACTCTATGTATTTCTCATGAGTTCCAATATCGATGGATCACTATAAACCTACTTGGCTCTGGGTGGCCATACAACAATCAAAGTCCTATAAATATCTGGATCATGGAACCTGCTGTAAATCCAACCAATAGTTTGGTCTTTACTCTCGGTATCTGACTGCAGCTCTATAAGGTACCCTTGTTTCTCACTCTCTCATTAGGAGTTTGGTCTAAATTCTGTCTCCAGCAACAGCACCTTGCCCATCTGTCACAGAGCCAGGCTCCATAAACTGCCAACTTCGTCTGAACAACCGCGTGATTCCTCTTATGAGTTTTGACCCATGGCCCTCCCCCCATCAAAAGTCTTCTCGTACCACCCACTGCACTAGCCTCTAGTTACCTCTAAAGGCCACTGGCCCAGGGCCTTGAGGCGAGCTGCCTCAAGCCATTTGCTTCAGGTATGGGGGGGGGGGGTGGGGGGTGGGGGGGAAAGGGGGGGGGTGGGGGAAGACTGAAATGTATGTCAGTACTGTACATTTGACTATAGTTCACTGAGGTATACTTCCATGTATAAGTGTAATGTTATAATCCCAGCTTGGCTCTATCTGGAGCAATGCGTTACAAATGACCACAGACTTATCCGTTTGCTTAAAGAGGTGCTCTACATCCTTTCTATTGGGAGTTATTTTTTTAATACAAAGAATTAGCCACAGAGGCTCCAGTAATTGTCACAGACCCAGCGGCATCCTGTACATAAATTGCTTAAATCTAGTCATGCATGTAATTATGTTTCTTCAAAAGAAGAATGGTAGTCTTTGTAATTATTACCTTTTCAGAGTTTGAAAGCAAATCATGCTCAAACAAAGGTAATTGTTGTACATTTACAGTAGGAGGTACTGTATTTGGTCCTCAGTCATGTCAGATGTTCTGGGATGAATAAGCAGTTAGAACTGAAACCTCACAAATAAAAGTCATGAATTAAAAGTTGCAAGTGCACACTAAGTTCACAAAATAAACATTAAGATCCTGTATTAAGCATTTGCACTGGAAAAAAAGTACCACACCATAGTACAAATGACATTTTGTACTAAGGTCTGGAGGCGCTCCATGGGGGTCCGTTTACAGATAGGAGGGGTTAACTCCTTTTGCAGATTGAAACGATTGGATCTTAGTTTACCGTGACAAGTCTGCTGTTAGCATTTAGCATTTAGCCTAGCCATCTCCTTTGTTGCTAACGGAGCCTGTGGGGAGTAGCGCCAATTTTTTTTCCAGCGATTACATTTGCTAAACATTACCCTTGCTCCGGCTTCAATTTATTGATAGAACCAGACCGGAATACTTTACTGTCGCATTTTTCGCCATTGCCAAACTACAACCTTCCCATTCGACGCAAACTCTTGACATCACCCACAACTAAGTACAACACCTGCCTTCCGTGCTCTCTGATTGGTCGGTTGAAATCCAACCGATTGTATTCGCTTACACAGGGACTAGACCCAGACGTTACATGCAGGGAATGATGATTGAACGGAGTGTACGAATGGCTAAGGCCAGGCTAGAAAAAAAGAATACAGTTGTTGATGTCAAAAAGGCCTGCAATGGGTTAGTCCCTGAATGCAGCACTCTATAATTGCTTTTTTTGAGGTGTGAAGTGCACAGTTAACACATTTGTTCATTGCTAACATTTTCTTTCCTTACTTGAACACAAAACCATCCTCTGAACCCACAATTCAAGCTTTTGCCCTCCAGTAGGCATCCTGATGGCCACAAAGTCTGTGTTTAAGAAATCATGTCTGCACAGTTGGATTGCATGAGGGTTAGGGAAATGAAATGAAATGAAAAAAATAAATAAAATAAAACATATACATATTCTAACAGGGCTGATTTCACTCTTGGATGTG